TGGTATGTCATCTTAAAGTAATGCAGGGAAAATCTATGTATATATTATTTGAGAATCAAGTTTTTAAACGAAGAACATGTCATTTTGGAATTCTTCAAATTTATAAAGCAGGTAAGTGTTATGATTTTTATAATAAAAATTTTACTTGTAAATATTTTTTTTTCTTATTTGATGATTATTTTCCATAGAATGATTTTCTACGTCTGATTAAGAATTAAAAAACAACATGAAAGTTTATTATTTTAATGTAAGGAATTTTCAGAATCGTTTTTTTGTTTCGTAAACATTCTTTATTTTACGTTTTTTAGTGCATAAATAATGATTTTTATTGAAATTTAAAATGTTTTGATAAAAATTGTTGTCGGGGGGCTGGGGGAGGACCTTTTATATTTGGTGATTTTTGAAAATGAACAAACTTTACAATGAAAATTAACCAAGAACCATTCACATAAAGGTAAACAAAAGTGGCGGTAACCCTAATGTGACGTCATTGAAAACAAAGAATGCCTCGGTAACCAGAAACGGGATTTCTTCAAAACTAAACGAAAATTATCGCCAAACCCAAGGGCCTAAAGTACGGCACCTTGTAAACATTTTTTTACAAAAAACACCGGACTAGAAATGTTCAAATGACTGTGACCGCAGAAAAAATAAACTTTAAAAAGTTGAGTTATTAGTTATTCCAATCATAAATATATGGGTAAAAATGATAGTTGCAAATTTGTGAGTTGCTTCTCTTTTACAATCGAACACGAAGGAAACACTTTTGGTAAAATTACCGTTGTGTATAGCAATAATATTTCTGGTAAGAGAAAAAATAACAAAATTCTGTAAATTAGTTCTATAAATTAAATTAAAAATTTGGCAATTTTTCCATTTCCGTTCACATGTTAATGGTCTACAAGGAATTCTGGTTTTGAAAATTACAGTTCTTTTATTTAGTAAAAAATACAAAACCAAGCCACACATTCAGTAAAAAATACAAAGCTAAAAAGTAAATTTAATCGAATAAATGGTTTCTTTGTCATGCTCTAATGTGCCATGATAGAATTACTGAATTTTACCACATTACCAAATTTTTTCATATATATTTTAAAACCATAATTTAGTGTTATGATTACCAAAATCATTAAAATAGCGCTTCGGTAAAAATTTCCGAGATGTTTGATGTTCCCATAAAGTCAGAAACGTGGAAAATTTTACCATATTCTGGTAGTTTTGACTATATTTCTTTACTCAATGCAGCATCATATAATGATTTTTTGCATGCGTTATTTAATAATATGAAATTTATTCTAATAATATTCTCATTTCTTAAAAAAATTTAATAATAATAATTTCTCAGTTTTTTAAAGAGTTCTTCTTATTTTTTTAAAAAAGAATTTGAAATTAATTTCGAACTACATTTTTTTTAATTAAATGAATTTGTATTACATTGTATTTATTCTGCAATTTATAACTTTTCCCTTAAACCTATACAGATTTCAGTAAGTTTATAAGTACTACTCATCGAAAGATATATTTTGAACTCGATTTGACTAATATTTCAGACAAATTAAATCTTAAATTTGACTAATATTTAACTACTAGAGTATTCTCTTCAAACTACAGTTTTAAATATTATTCACTTATGGTTCCAAGATAATTTAAACAATTTTATTGGAACAGTTTTTCAGACCATTCCATTTGAACCATATATTGAAAAAGTTTTTTTTTGTCCCTTTATATTGAAAAACGATAAAGTCTTTAATCCTGCTCTCTGCATTTACTTCAATGAGTGATTATGATTAGGTGATATGTTATAGTATTCCTTTTGTAGATACATTTTCAGCTTCATTTGACCAATATAACTACTACAGTATTCTTCCTAAACAGAAGAGGTTTAGAATGTTCTTCACTTATAGTCCAAGATAATTCAATGCAGTAGAATGGTTTTTCGAACCATTTAAAGTTTTTGCTCCATTATATGGAACAACGATAAAGTCGTCATTCTTAATCCTGCTTTCTGCATTTTCATCACTGGTGATTATGATAAGTTAAATAAGTTATAGTACACTTTTGTCGATACATTTTCAGCATTTGGCTAACATTCAGCATAACTACAGCAGTATTCCTCCTAAACTACAGTTTAGAATGTTCTTCATTTATAGTTCCAAGATGATTCAATCCATTAGAATGGTTTTTCGAACCATTTAAAGTTGTTCCATTATATTGAACAACGATAAAGTCTTCGTTTTTAATGGTGCTTACAGTATTGTTGTTCTTCACTTGTGGGTTAGGATTGTGCGAAGAAAGGAATAAGGATTCTATGAATGTAAGAGGCAACTCGAAAGTTATGTACAGGATATAAGCTGCCAAGAATGTCAGAGATGTGTAACTAAATATTCTCATCCACTGCAAAAATAAACAAATAAAATTAATTCCTTTATGAAAAATATCGTTTTATAAAACAAACAAGAAAAATTAAATTTTATCCATAAAAATTAAATTCTATCTATAAAAATAAGTGTTTAAATCATATATTGAATGAATAATGTTTTAATTAACTTTTTATTAAATAACGCCATAATTCGCGGTTTACACTAACCAGATGATAGAAAAGTTTTATTTCGAATCCCTATCATATAACTAATTATTCTTTACAATTTATTTATTTCAAAATGTAAGTTTTAAAAATTCAAAAAATAATTTAAATGCTATAAATTAAAATAAATAATGTAAATTTTCAAGAATCATGTCCAACATAAATTTATTTTTTACTTTTAAATTAAATCACTAACATAGTACAGTGCATCATAATATACAGCTATTACCTGATAGAAAACATAAGCTTCAAAAATATACAAAATTGAAATGAAGATCGATATGTTTCAAGCCCATCAAAAATGGGCTTTCAAGACTTTACAGATGTCTGGCAAGTCTTGAAAGGCTTTAAGTGTTAACCCTTATTTGGCTATATTTGTGCAAAATATCACCATTTACTTATAGTATCATAGGATGTTGCCCAAATTCCTTTTCAGCTAAAATGAAATAGATTAAGCTAAAGTTAAATTGAAGGAATGTATTACATTGTAAACATTACAAGTGTAATGATATTAAATGGCGCACTTATTCAAGCTCACGTGTGAAACTGCATTGGAAATCTTATTAACGTGAGCTTTTTCGCGAAACAGAATTAAGCACTTGTAGTAAAGATATAATTTTAAACTATGTAAAGAATTATCTGAGCTTTAGAACTGGCAAAATACTTCAACAGTTTAAAAGTTATTATGCTTTTTTAAAAATTGCGAATTTAGGGACATTTTTTCCACCTAGCAAAAAATTATCAAAATCAATGCTTTATTTTCATTTCTTAAAATTTTTTATGAACACAGATAGTGCAGTATACATAGAAGGCGCTGGCTAAAGATAAGCTAAACTTGTCCTAGAAGTTATGAGTAACTGTTGATAACATGCAGTAGTTATTAAAAAAGTATATTATCTGCAAAAAAGAATAATTTCATGAGCCTTTGAAAAAAAAGCATTAAGACGAATTTCATCCCCTAGATCCACTTAGAAAGCCCTGGAAAAATTCTTATCAACTTACTATTTCATAATGACTGAAGATTAAAGTTGATCTTGCGACACTGACATGGTAGGCAATTACTATGTAATGGATTAAATACCCAAAATATCCTAATTTACTCAGCGGTCCAAATCCTTTCCAGCAAATAAGGTTGCCAAACCAACCTGCAATAAAACGTATTAAAAATTAGTCACATTATAAGAAATTTTTATAGATGGAGTTTTACTGAAAGAATTGTTAAAAAGAGTTATTTCAGATTTTTCTTTAATTGTAATTATACAAACAATAAAGCTTTTAAGTCATGTCAAATTACATGATTCTGACTGACAAAATTTTGGAACAAATTAGTTTAATGATACTTAGGAAAATAATACGTAAGAAATTAAAAGGGTTGCCTAAATAAAAAGTGGATGCATGCTTTAGAGTTAAAAATGTAGTAGCGGTGGCACCGTCACCATTCATAGTTATAATGGTAAGTAATGCAAGTGAATCCATAACTTATTGCGAATAACTAATAAGCCAGTTCACATGAAAGTATGTGAAATAGTACAAAACATGGATGCATCTAGAACAGAACATACAGTTGCGGCTTTTAAAGGCAAATGGTGACCGTTAATAGAGTTTAGAGGGCCATTCTCACGGCATGCGATTAACGCACCTCTGATCGAGGTGCATAAATCGCATGCAGTGTAAACGGTCCCGAAGCAATGAACAGCACATGATGGAGCAGTCTTGTGATTCTTTTCATTTCAATGTAAACGATTACCTCAATCCTTATAGATAAGCCTCGATGGTTCAGGGGATAGGAGTCTCCTTCCAATGAGATGAACCAGGTTCGAATCCCATCGATGACTTGGTGATTCAAATTCCGCATCTGGCTTGCACTGACCACACTGCTGACGTGAAATATCCTCAGTGGTAGACGAATCATATGTTAGAATCCCCTTGCCGTCAAATTAAGCGTGAGAAATTTTCGTGGTTTTTATCTCCATGTAAAGCAGAGGCGTGTTACTTTCACCAAAAAGTCCTCTACGAGGGCAAATTTTCTCTCAATACGTGATCCAGGAGTACCCTTGTCTTCCGGATGGGGGTCAAAATTACAAGGCTACAGAGTTGAACATTAGTGGTCGTAAACCTAAAATTGGGTCAGCTGTTCAACGACGATTATAAATATAAATCTTTATGGGCGTTCCAATGAGGTGAACCGGGTTAGAATCCCAGAAATGGCTGGTCGATACGAAATCCGCTCCCTGTTTCCACCAACCACAGTGCTGACGAAAAATATCCTCCGTGGTAGAGGGATCAAGGATTAGGGTCCCCTTGCCATCAGGCTAAACGGCGTGGGAGGTTTTCGTGGTTTTTCTCTTCATGTAACGCAAATACGTGTTAGTTCCATCAAAAAGTTCTCCACGAGAGCAAATTTCTCCCAATACTTGATGCAGGAGTTCCCTTGTCTTCTGGATTGGATACAAAATTACAAGGTTACGGAGTTGAACATTAGTAGCCGTAAACACAAAATTGGGTCTACTGATCAACTACGGTAATAAATTATTTTTTAAAATAAAATAAAATGTTCATAGCCGAACAGCGCACTTCAACTACACTGGTTATCATAAATTAAGGAAAATTCACAAAAATCGCGATAACTCAAGAAATTACACATGGAATTTTATGAAACTTACCCACAATATACAACACATAGTAAGGTATTAAACAACATAAAAAGAAATTATCAGACATTAATAGTAGTATAGAAATTAGCACATGTATAAAATAAACAAATTGGAAGTATCGGTTTGCAATAGAAAAAGTACCTTTAATATGGAATATGATTGCCTCTAGAAGCNCGACTTCGCGCGCAGGTCGTCGGGCTACCGAAGCGGGGGTGCCATCCCTTCCGCAGAGGATCAAAATTGTGATGGCATGTCTTCGGATCATCCTCCGGGATGTTTCCCAGACCGTCGCCAATAGCCCATTGTGCAGCTCTAGTGCGACGTAAAGTAACAACAACAACAGCAGCAACAACCCTTGTCTTCCGGATGGAGGTCAAAATTACAAGGCTACAGAGTTGGAAATTAGTAGTCGTAAACCTAAAATTGGATCAACTGTTCAACGACGATTATAAATATAAATCCTTATAGGCGTTCCAATGAGGTGAACCGGGTTCGAATCCCATCGATGACTTGGTGATTCGAATTCCGCATCTGGCTTGCACTGACCACACTGCTGACGTGAAGTATCCTCAGTGGTAGATGGATCATATGTTAGAGTCCCCTTGCCGTCAAATTAAGCGTGAGTTTGGTTTTTATCTCCATGTAAAGCAAAGGCGTGTTACTTTCATGAAAAAGTCCTCTACGAGGGCAAAGTTTCTCTCAATACTTGATCCAGGAGTTCCCTTGTCTTCTGGATGGAGATCAAAATTACAAGGCTACAGAGTTGAACATTAGTAGTCGTAAACCTAAAATTGGATCAACTGTTCAACGACGATTGTAAATATAAATCCTTATAGGCGTTCCAATGAGGTGAACCGGGTTCGAATCCCAGAAATGGCTGGTCGATACGAAATCCGCACCCGGTTTCCACCAACCACAGTGCTGACGAAAAATAGCCTCCGTGGTAGACGGATCAAGGGTTAGAGTCCCCTTGCCATCAGGCTAACCGTGGGAGGTTTTCGTGGTTTCTCTCTCCATGTAACGCAAATACGGGTTAGTTCCATCAAAAAGTTCTCCACGAGAGCAAATTTCTCCCATTACCTGATACAGGAATTCCCTTGCCGTCTGGATTGTGCTCAAAATTACAAGGTTACGGAGTTGAACATTAGTAGCCGTAAACACAAAATTGGGTATACTGATCAACTACGGTTATAAATTACATTAAATTATTTTTTAAAATAAAATAAAATGTTCATAGCCGAACAGCGCTCTTTAACTAGTTTTATTATGTAGCGAGTTCTTACTTTTTCAAGAGCAGAGCACACATTCACGTTTTTTTCCCCACGTACCTTAAAGCTTGAACCAGCGGCCTCTTCAAGAAACTATTTATATGCCTTTGTGTTACGCCACCTTTTTTGTTACATCACGATTATTATAACTATTCGTTTTTTTTGGAATTTTTCAGCAGTAATGAAAAATAAATGAATAAATTTAGATGCCTTGAAAATAAATAGCGCAATCGAATTCAGTGCCTCAAAAATCTATATATATTTTCATTTCATTTTAAATAAAATTTTATTATATTGTGGTGTCTTCTCTTTGATAGAATGAAAAAAGTTAATTACTAAAAATCAAAATTTAATTGAAGTGATTTCGGCTTTTTAAATATACAACAAATAATTAAATGATTTGAACATAAGATTAAAAAAAATACAAACATAGCAACACAAGTATGTCTAATAATAATCAGAATAATACAGTAAAAATGCGTTTTATAAATGAAAAATCTTCACGGCGTGTTTAAAAATAATTAAAGTAAAATATTTGAAACTTAAATACAAATTAATTCTCACCTCCATAACCATGCGTACAGGCCAATATGATCCAGGATAATCCCAATGAAAACGCTGTTCTGTGTGTAGCTGCATAAACGGCTGCAAGAACTGGATCAGCATCTCTTCCATCTCGACCAACAAACATAATAAGTTGGATACCCACTGTCAAAAAGATAGACACTATCCACCCAAGAACGACGTGAATCTGTAAAATATAATGCATAGAGATTTGGCAGTTGTAAGTGGCAACCAGTTGGTCACACCATTTATATTGGACGAGTCTTTGTCCAATAGAAACACATTTCTACAGGTTGTTACTAGTAACTGATTGATCATTAGTGATCATTCAGTAGGCAGGTTAAGTTAAGTGACGTCATCATAAACATCTCTATTTTGTGTAATATAAATAAAGATGTGACACAAGTGTTTTAAACTCTGCTTAAATTTGATGTGGATACGCTTTGGAAATATAATTTATTAAGTTGTAACTTAATTTTTCTCTATCTCGTAAATCAATTCGTTAGTCCTTATATTGTGCAATGGATAAAAAAAGGAATGATATTGGTTACTTTTTATAAAACATTTAAACATTATGGCTAAATTTGTAGTTAAGTTTTTAGTTTACCAAGATATTTCAAAGTTAGAAAATCGTTATCATAGAAAATGGAATCCAGATAAGTTTGAAGATTATTGCTCGACACTAAAAAGGGATAGTTCTCAATCACAATACCGTTTAAAAAATTGCTAAATTCGACATTTTTCTTTGATTAGCGCATGTAACTTATGTAAAACTAATATTTTCAGAACAGGGGAAAAAATTTTATTTTGTATTACAATATATATGAGCTAGGTGTTCCATTATAAACAGTTATTCAATTTAATTTAACAGACAAAAAGTTTAATATTGTCGATCAGTGTTGGCTAGCTTTCTGTTTAATTTGTATTAATGCAAATTCTAAACCAATGAAAAAAATTCCTTTTATGCACATCTCTTCGGAGCGGAATAATTACAATTTTTCAATGACTTTTAGAATCATCCTAAAGATTCCAAAGATTCGGTAACTAAAGGTTCAGGAGCTTAGTTAATCCAAAGATTCAACAACTTAGGAATAAGAAAACTTTTTTTATATAATATAATTTTTTTGTGGTATCCGGAATGCGCAGTGTGCAAAAAGGAAAGAAGAAAAAAACGGATAAATATCAATAAATTTCAATCTAATGATCGGATTTTTACTCACTAGATGTAATCTTAAATGTTCGTAAGTCTAACCTTAAATCTGCTAGTTAATTTGAACCAAAGATGTTACAAAATACTACACATTGTATAGTAAGCAAAAGAAAAGACTTTTGATCCTAATGATCAGATTTTCACGTGCTGAGACTAAATTTTAATGAATTAAATGGATGACCTCAAATATGCTAATTAATTAAAACAACCGATAATTTAAGTTACGAAATCAGACGAAAAAAAACTTACTTTTTCTGAATAAACATACCTTTCCTCGATGAATTTGGATTCCTTATTTTAAAAACATAGGGGGTAGCCGCAATCTGGGAGATATAGTCCAATAGTTTGGTCAAGAGGGCGGTCGAAAATTTGGACTTCGCTATATCTTGAAAACATTTCTTTAACGAATCGGAAAATTTTTGAGCACACTTATAAATGTCATCTATTCAACGATAATTCCATACAAAAAATAATTTTTAACAATTAATGAATATCATGAAAAAATTTTGAACTGCTACGGATACAAATTTTTACATCATTTTAAAAAGTGCAATTTTATGAGGCAAAATAAAAACTTTGAGTGCAATATGACGGATGGTTTCTGTGAAGTAAAAATTTAAATATACGGCTCTTTTCAAAATTCGATTTCTCTAGACGTCTAGAAGTACTTGCAAGTATCAATGCGGGACGTGAAATGAGCTTGTCCGTTGGAGCAGTTGGCGAAATTCAGCTGCAATGGGGTATGGCAGCGAAGCAAAAGAATGACTTGAGAGCGTTTACTAACGGCACGACATCACATTCAGAGCTTTTGCTGGGTTCGTAAGTATATTGATTGAACCCTAGACGACAAGAAAACTGTAGCTTGGTCAGATGAGTCATGATTTCAGCTGGTCAGAGCTGATGGAAGAGTTCGAGTGTTTCGTAGACCTCACGAAGCCATGGACCCAAGTTGTCAACAAGGCAGTGTGCAGTCTGGTGGTAGCACAGATTTACATTTTAGTACATAACCTAGATAGTTTTTTATTTCTGTTACAGTCACTTTTATATTACCTTGTTTTATAAAAATACGTATCAAAAACCTGACTGTAAACAAACTAAACACGTGGTTTTAGGTAATTCACGAATGTCGGTCAATTTTGTCCCCAATCTGCAGAGCTGCACCATGCTATTGCTGCAAAGAGTGGTCTAATGGAAAACATTGTTTTATAGTTTCCTGGATGACCCATCTGTTGATGAACTTCCTAACTCCTTTTGAAAGTTCGTACGAAAAAAAATATCCCTTGAAGGAAAAGAAGAAAGTCGCATGTTTCGATTACTTTTTGCTTTTCGTCAATTGATTTTTCAAACCATATTTTATGTTTAAAACTGCTGGTAATTTAAAGAAAGCAAGCCTTCATATTTCTAATCTAGGTCTTATTTACTTTTTAAAGTTTTGCTTAATCATGTTAATTTTTTTTCCATCATCCACAAAAAAAATATTAATTTAATTTTATTAAATAATTTTGAGCTATAGGCAGCCAATTGTTTTTAAAATTCAAACTCCTTAATATGATTTTCAAAAATACCAAAATACCAATATCTCTACTTACTCGTGACCACTTCAGCTTCTGATTCTTGGCCATAAAATATCCTAAAAGCATACCGATTCCAAATGAACTTGCATGGCTTAAAGGAGCTGTGTAAATAGGTATTTCAAAATGCCTATAAAAACCAATTCATATAGGAATTATCAAAAAATTTACGAAAAGAAACTTACTGAATATATATAAAGGAAAACACGAGAGGTTTATCCGATTTTTTATTTATATTTCTTGTTAATATAATAAAATTTCCACGTTTTCATTATTTTAGGATGTTACTTATAGCCTAATTATTATCAACATAATATTTTTTTATTATTAAGATAAATATAAATGTTCTATAAAAACATAACAAACTTTGTCGATCAAGGGGCTCTTCCTCCCCCGACCGAACTCTACTGTCGAAGGGGTGGAGACGGGAAAGTAATATTCCAAATATAATTTCAATCCTCTTTATTTATTTTTTACAAATAAACTGATTATAGATATTTACTCTATTTGTCGGTATCTGTAGATACATGCAAACGATCTGTGGATGAATGAATGGATGTATGAATGGGTCCGCCTTATAAACGGAAGTGACGTATGGGTGTGGCAGAAGTCAAATTCTTGGCCATAGATGGCGCCACTGGAAAACAAGAACAATTGCACCCCTCTGCCTTAACAGGCATACGCAACAACAACAACAAGATTGACGCCCAATAACAATTTACGATATAACGAGTACGGTCTTTTAGATTTTCTATTAATTTTTTCTACAAAAATTATGCCAATAGAATTCTGCAATCCATATTTTTTGAAAGTAGCTAAATAGTATAAAGTTGCCTGTCTTTATATTTTTAGCAATTATCTTTTTTTGTGCAATTAGCGTTAAAAGAATTTCTTAGCGTCACCCAAATCAGTTATCATCAGTTTCAACGGTAATCTAATATATATATTTCTCTTGCGTGGCTCCCAAATTTTGGCGGTATTTCTTTTCCGCCGGTGGCAACGTTTGCTTTGCTTTGTTTACGTTACTATTTCTCTTTCACGGCGAATCGACCAATGATTGCCGCNTATATATATATAAAGGAAAACAAGAGAGGTTTGTCCGAGTGTTATTTCTATTCCTTGTAAATATAATTAAATTTCCACGTTTTCCTTATTTTAGGATGTTACTCATAACATAATTAATATCAACATAATATTTTTGTTATTATTAAGACAAATATAATTGTTCGATAAAAGCTTAACAAACTTTGTCAAACGAAGGGGCTCCTCCTCCCCCGACCGAACTGTATTGTCGACGGGGTGGAGACGGGAAAGGAAGATTCTAAATATACTCTCAATCTTCTTTATTTAATTTTCACAAATAAATTGATGATAGATATTTAGACTATTTGGCAGTATCTTTCGATACATGCAAAACAGAAGACTGCGCCGCCCAATCACAATTTGAGATATAACGCGCGCGGTGTTCTGGATTCTCTATTAATTTTTCTGCCAAAATTATTCCAATACAATTCTGCAATTAATATTTTTGGATAAGTAGTTAAATAGTTTAAAATTGCCTGTTTTAGATTTTTGATAATTATCTTTTTTGCGCAATTAACGTTAAAAGAATTTTTTAGCGTCACCCAAATCGGTTACCCTCACTTTAAACCAGTGTTTCTTAACCTTTTTGATATAATGGACCCCTTTTAAAATTTTTTAAGAAGTCACGGACCACCCCCTGTGAAAAATATAATTGTAAAAAACATCAATTATTAGAAAACGTTCAATTTTATTATTTTAATAGTATACAAAATTTTTAAAATTCAAATTTTTAATGTGAAGGTTGCTGCTGCTTTTCCTTACTTAACAAATTGAATTGGGGGATGGTTTTCGACAAAGCAACGTGCATATCATGTTCAACATTCAATCGATTTGGATGTTATGTTTTTATTGTCACAAGTGTGGAAAATCCCTCGTTGCAAAGATACGCTGTAGCAAACGGAATTATAGCTGCCATAGCTCGCTTTACAAGCAATGGATAGGCTTCCAAACATTTTAAGAATAAGGAGTAGTCAGCGGACCCCCAAAATATAACTGATGGACCCCTTAGGAGTTCATGAACCACAGGTTAAGAAACCCTGCTTTTAACGGTAATAAAATTACATTAAAAAGAACTGAAAACTAAGGAACGTGTAATTTTAAACTATCTACTCAAAACCACGAATCGCATCATTTTATTGTTTTAAAGTTTTAAAAAAAAATTCAAAAAAGTTCTAAAAATTATAAGTGCCATTTCACTTAATCTCATCAGGCGACCCCTTTATTTTTTGTCTTTTTTTGAAGGTATTGTGTTGTTTAATAATACTGTATCTAAAATCCAAGATATTTAGGGAAGAGGCCTATTAAGGTAAAAAATAATCATTCTCATTTCTGAAATACAAAAATAACTAAGGGACCTCAACTACAGCTCGCTGCCCTCACCGAATATAGTTTGTTCTAAACATTCAAAAATGTTTTATGAATACTATAAATGCATCAAACATGTACCAGGCAATCAGGGTGGCTCAGGGTTTGGAGTGCTTGCCTTCCCATGTGAAAGTCACAGGTTTGAATCCCTACGATGGTTGATAGATTTTTATACTGTTCCAGTCTCGCACCGATGATAGTGTTGACGTAAAATTTCGCTGCCTTAGAGCATGGCCCAAAATCCATTTATTAGGCTAAATTTAATTTTTATTTTTGTATATTTTACTAAATGTGTGGGAATAAAAACTATAAATTTAAAACCAAAATTTCTGGTAAACCCTTACCACGTGAATGGGGAAATTACAAAATGAATGGTTTGAACACTGCATATTTTGGTTTTTATTACCAAAAATATTTTTGCTTTTAAAAATAAAAAATGTCATTACCATTCAGTATGGTAATTTTATCAGCAAAAAAAAAAAAAAAAAATTCTTTATAAACCCTGCTATTGGATAAGAGAGAATATTAAATCAAATTAAAGGAAGCATTCATTATGTGTTTAGAAACAAAACAAGTTAAGAAATATGTGAAATGTTTGCACACATTAAGCAGGTGTACTTACTCCCTGTTGTGGTAATAATAAATGGCATATGTCGGCGGAAAACGATGCAATGCAGTCATTACTCCCAGAGATATATTACAGGCTAATCCGATTGCAACAGTGCAGACAAGTCCGAACTTGGGACACCTTGGAAAATTAGGAAATTATATACATGATGTAAGATATACATTGCATAAAATTCACATTCTGAACAAATTTTTTTTTCTCCATAATTCCATAAAATTTTTATTTGATAATAAAAAAGTTTCTTCAAAAACTAATGCTTTTTTTGTAAGAAATTTTTTTTTACTCATTAAAAAATAAACGGAGACAAAAAAATAAAAAATGTATAATTGTTAATAGAAGGCTGGCTTTGATATTTATTAAAAATTCCGAAAATATCTTTGGAAACCTTATGTTTGCGTTTACTACCTGTTTTAAAATAACTGTAGAAAATCCCAAAATTCATGCAATAAAAATTAAAATTTTTTTATTGATTCATTAAAGAGCATATAGAATCCCTCATTATTCTATAGAGCATATAGAGTAATGAGGGAAGGGGCATTGCAATCATATAGACACACTTTTGTTGAAATTTCAATAGGGTGTTTTGTACGAAAGTTGCTGAATTTCGTTGATATGGTTCTCAATTTCATCTTTAAATAATCGACCGATAATGGGCTTGTTGGCATTAAACTTAGACATCAAAACAATCCTACAGAAAGAAAAATCCAACAACGTCACAAAAATCAACCAACTGCATAATCTGAACAACCAGTTCTGATCACCAAAACGAGAATTTCAGCAAAAATTAGCAAAATATTTCTCAACAATGAAAACTCGTTGCTCTTTCATATAGCTCTTGATTTTTAATAACCCTGAACTTGCAGCTGTAACTTTACTTTCCATTGGCAATGATCCTTAAATGGTGTCAAATTAAAATTTTGCTTAAATTTTAAAATGCACAATTTACTATGCAAAATCTACATTCTTTCCGTGGAAATTCTGCAATGAATCAACAAAAATTGACTTTCTTAAATTTTATAAATTTTAACTTAGCATTTATTTTTCCCAATAATTTTAATTCTTACCCAGTTCTCATTTTGTGAGCATGCTAATAAATAATATATAACCAGTTAATAAATTAAAATTAAAATTTATGTTATAAGTGTGTGAGTACACTTATAAACTACGTGGAACAGTCGTTGCATTTTTCTTTGATTCGGGAGTTAAAATATATAAAGAGAAAAGAATCTATCAATTCTATCAATCTCAACCTATCTCAATTAATTTTTAACAGGCCACGGAGTGTTTGGAGAACACCAATATAAATTATTTCACGAAAATCCAGAATGTAATTACTGTGGTGAATAATCTATTGATCACTTATTAATGAATTGTTCTCAATTCCAGACACTATGGGGGATAACTTTAATAATATTAGTCAACATCAATGTTATGCTAACCTGACTTTCAGAAATATCATAAAAAAGATTATTAAACAAACTTTAGAGGATGTATTGGGGGACAGTCTTTAATGGTCTCGGAACTTGCTCGTTCCAGCTTGGTGTCTCAATTTTATTGATGGTGTAGTTTTATAACTTTTACTATGTCTTTTATAAACTCTTCTACTTTTACTTGCTCCAATTTTATTGTAATTACTTTTGTACTATTTAATTGGTTTTAAAAGTACTGTTTTAAAATGTTATACTATATTGTTCTTTTGTAAATTTTGCACGTTTATCTTTTAAATTGTTCTTTTAACTGACACTTTTAATATATTGCTGTTTTAATGTTTTATCAACTTACATGATTTTTGCTGCTCTGCGCCCATCATGTTCATGGGCTGTTGCCATGTCTGATGTGTATTTTATGTATTTTATGTTTGCACTGTTTTCTGGATTTTTTTTTATTTTAATAAAAATTTACCCTTATGCCCTAAATAAGGGCGGATCGGGGAAAATTTTTCCATAAGGAGAAAATAAAAATTCTAAAAATGGAATTAAATTTTAATATTTATGAATCAAAAAATACATTATTCGACGTGATTGCTAGTTGCAACTTATTTTATGTTAGTTTAAGGTAATAGTCTTATTACTTAGGTCAATTAATTTAAATGTCTATATTTTGTCTAGAAACAACTTACTTCGCTATAAGCCACAATAGTAGAACACCAATTATCGAAATCTGCATCAAACAGGGTATAAACCACAGGTATAAGAAATTCTACGTATAAGAAAAAAACTACTTAATGTCAATTATTTTTGAAAGGTATTTGTAGGAAAAGAATATTTCATAATATACTCGTGAAAAACAATGATATTGTTTGGAAAATAATATATAATAACATACTCGAAAAAAAAACAATGTTCACGATATATATTTCAAAAAAAATTCTTTCATTAAAACTTATTCAGTTTATAAATTTAGCATATCATAAACTTGATAAAAATAACGATTGTTATCCAACAAAAGATAGGATGTAGTTAGTACTATGTAGACTAAAGCAAGAAACAACATGGATAAAGTACTAATGTACTTTAGTGTTTTATTCACGTTGTTTTTTAATTTAGCAACGATTCTAACTAAGCTGAAATTTTCTAAACTTCCTTCAAACGGTTGTGAGTGTAATAACTGTATTTGTTTCAAAAGTACCTTTCTTTAAGATAAAAAAAACTCGATCTCTTTCATAAACATAAAACAAGGATACAAAACATTCTAAAGGCCCACGAGATGTAAATAATGAAAACACAACATATTTGGAAAAAAAACCTTTTCCAACAACAAAAAATTGCTAATACAACATTGCCTACATTTGGGAAATTACACGCCCTTTAAAATTCAGAGACCTCAATGAATCAGTCAGTCATCAGTAATTAGATTAATCATCGATTATCATTCGTTGATCTTGGGCACAAATTTTATTTCTATGATGTTCATTGCTTCCAGCACTATCACGTGAGCTCATCTTAATATTCTAGAATCTTTTTATTTTTTTTTATAACCGATGTTGAATAGTCGACCCAAATCTGAGTTTGAGTCTATTAATGTTCAACTCCCTAATCTTGTAATCTTGAACCCGACCCAGAAGATCCTGGATCAAGCATTAGGACAACCTAGAACTTGGAAAGTTATTTGAACCAGTAGAGAACTTTTGAACTGGGATTCGAACCTGGATCACCTTACTGGGAGGCGAATGCTCCATCTCCAAAACCACGGCAGCTAAGAATCTCGTTATTCATATGAAAGTCGATTGCCTAGTTAATGATATCATTTCAGTATTAAAGTGCTCTAATTCATAGTGAAGCAAAGGTGAAAACCAAACACCTTATCTCGTCACTAGAGTGTTAGGCGGGATAAAAAAAAAAACCCGGCTAAACGAGTCTGGTTATTAGTTGAAACATGCAAGTGCTTCTATAGCGCGGTTTTGAGGAGAACTCCTCCAGACTGAAAGTCTGGGGCTGTCTGCTGCTATGGTAACAAGCGAGAGCACATTTCTAATGGAGGTGAAATGGAGAAAAGAAAGCGTCGATTGGTTTACTCACGACGACCTATGCCAAGATTAAGACAGAAATATTCACCCCACACTCCTATTTGCAGTGACCTTTCCTCGTAACCATAATACCCACCACGACGCAAGACGGGTGTCTGGAGGAGTTCTCCTGAAAGCCGCACTATAGTTTTAGCTTTTCAACTCTGTTTCCACCTCCAATCAAATAGGTTTTAGAGTTTTTAGTAACTCCTTTTTCAGGAGTGAAGGGTTAGATTTCGTTTCTTCCTTGTTTTGATAGTAATTAGTAAGTGACCCTAAATGCATACTCTCTTGACTTAACTTGTTAACAAAGATTCTGAAATGTACAATATTAAGGAAGATGATTGCCGGACATTCTGTATTACTACCTGATTATTATGCTGAAATTTAAGTTTAAAAAGTTCGTGTTATAATGTTAGAAAAAGGGTGTTAAAATAACTAATGAAACATTGTACACACTTTCAAAAAATCATTACAATCATTAATATCGCTTACCAGATCCTTAACGGCTAAGAAGTTATTAAACATACAAACGTATGTCCACCACCATTTACGAGTGTTTTCTGCTGCAGTATCAAAGATGTCCGTCCAGACAGGACCTGAACCAATAAGAGGCAATAAAACAATGATACCCAGAATTAGGAGCATAGATGGACATAACCTGTGAAATAAAAACTCAAATAAGTGGCAATAAAACAATGATACCCAGAATTAGGAGCATAGATGGACATAGCCTATGAGATAAAAACAGCATTTTTCACACATTTATTTCTAACGTTATATACAAAATTAAATGCCAACGTTGTGTTTTAAGCTAATAAATGAAAAACTGAATCACTTATTTCAATTCTATTACAATAAAACTATTCGTTTTTTCCTCTATCTGGAAAACATGATTTTGAACTCGGCTACAAATATTTTTAGAATAATTCATATTTTCAAAAAGCAGACGAAGAAAATTGTTATAAAGAATTTTAAAGAATGCACACAAAAATCAAAAGTTATTCACAAAAACGTACCTGATGTAGCGTCGCACAATGATTTTGATGACATTGATGTGTACTTCTTTTTCATTTTTACGAAATCTTGGATAAACTAACAACAGGCCACTGCAAAATAACGAGGAAATTGTTGGATACATATCAGTTAAATCAAGCGACATTTTTCAGTTGGCAGCTTTACAATTAGAAATTTTTTTGGGGTGGGAATGAGTTTTAATATCATTCAAATCTGCTGCAAACTTAATATGGCAATAAGTTGTACCATAATATCTGACTTCTTGATTACACTATATTATGGTTTAACTTTAAGTGAAACACAATTTGAGTTAATACATTATTAAAGGTGAAGAAAATGCGTACTATATATTTTTGTTCAAAGCTAAAATAAGTTTTTTATATTGTATACGATTGTAGAACAAAAACATGAAATAAAGTAGATACTATTTATTTCAAATGAGACTTTTGTTATTAGATTTGCTAGAAAATATCTTATTCAATTTTAGGTTGATCATATTATGTCCATAGCAATGAAATCTCTATTTTAATGTTTTGAAAACGAGTGTTTTAAAAATGAATAAAAAAAATTCAAGGAACTAAGAGATTTTTCATTAAATATTCTTTTAAGCCGATTAACTGATTAATGCCATTGGGGCACAAAATGTCTTTGCAGGCCAGTTCATTAAAAAAAAAGATGTGGTATATCAATATAGAATTTGATACGGTGTATTTTAAATGCGTAATGATTTGGATGTAAATGACCGCCACAATAATAAAAATGAAATAAAAATGAAATAAACAATATCAAGTTTATAAATATTAAACTTGAAATACAAAATGCTTCAATGTATTTCAGAGTTATTTTAGAGTCTTTTTTTAATTGCCCAAATGCTTTCTTTTTAAATCAACTTCTAAATATAGATTCATTTGAAAGTATCAATATTATTCTTAAAAACGTTCAAAAATTAACTTTCATATCCTTATTTCAAAAAATATATGTTTTGTTTGCTTTCAATGTATCTTACAATATTCGATTTTAACATATTAGAGCAAAAGTCTACAAAAATTATGATTAAAGATTAGTTATGATTACGAGAAAAAAATAAATAAACAAGCTTTTGTATAATAAATTAAATAAACAAGCTTTCCTCGTTCAAACCCTATTCTTTTTATTGGAGATGCAAATGAGGAAAGCTTGTCACAGGAAAGCTGCTGCAGTGTCGAGAAAAACAGGACACAGTTTTAAAAATTGTCACAAATAGTAATTTTAAAAAATTTCTTACGAGAACAGAAAATATGCTTCAATGCTTATGCCCATACAAACTATCAAAGTGAATGGAAGATCCTCCAGGTAGTTTCCAAGGTTTGAAATGTCGCCTGAAAAAAAACGACAGATTTTCAAGCAAAATTTAATTTTATATACACCGAAGAGCCATTACATTATGACCACCCTGCTAATAACACGTAGGACCACCTTTAGCCCTCAAAACTGCTAGCACCCGCCGTGGCATTGATTCCACAAGGTGCTGATAGGTAGTCTGAGGCATCTGGTACCAAGTGCTCACCAACTGGTCCTGCAATTCCCTCACATTGCGAGGGGGTAGCGTGGCAGCACGAATTTGGTTTTCCAAGTAAGACCACAAGTCACTGGAATGCCAATCCATGACGATTCGACCCTTATGACATGGTGCATTATCCTGTTGGTAAACACCATCCCCCGCAGGAAAAACTGTTGCCATGAATGGGTGAACCTGGTCTGCAACTATGTTCAAGTAGCTTACAGATGTCAGGGATTGTTCTATGGAGATTATGGGTCCTAATGTGCCCATGAAAACATTGTTCCTGGGCGAGAAACAATGAAAACCTGGGCTAGCCCATTGTTATAGATGGAGGGTGGTCATAATGTAATGACTCTTTGGTGTATATATTAAGATTATTTCGATCAAATTCACTCTTTATTATTCCTCTTATTTTTATTCGATCGGTGTAAATATTAAGTGAATTCACAAAAATTCACATTACTCAAAGTTTTCAACATCATAGAACCGAATTAAAAGTGGCCCTATTTAACTTTGTCCCACCATTCCACATATGATGGTAATGAAGCTAATTTTTCCTCTGAAAGAATTGTTTTAGATAGTTTTTGCAGATTCAGATGAGCAGAAAGACGAGCCCGTTGTTAGAATTGAAATGGATCATTGTCGGTATGTAGTTTGATCTGCTGCAGTTTGGTCATAACTAACGTTTTCGAGTGATTGATGTTTCATTTATGTTGTTGTTAAGTTTTAATGTTAAAACAACTCCTCCTAATAAAATGGTCTCCCTTTTTCCTATTTAACGTTTTTGGAAGATTTATGTTGTTTTGAAACTTTATGCTTAGCAACTCCTCTTAATGAAGTTATTTCATTATTTTCTATTTAATTTCCACAGATCCAAGCAGCGCCTCTCAGAAGATAGAAGTCCTCTGCACGGATCATAGTAATCTGCAACATAGTAATCCGACGTAACGACGTAAACTGCGCAGTGGGGACAATACAAAAGATGTCACTACGTTCGGGCAACTTAACAGCACAGTGCGGGATTTACGAAAAAGGTCACTACTCTTGAAATACTTAAAGATCAGATTTCCCGTTTATGGTAACCCGTGAGAAAGTCTTCTCTCTTTTGGATGCGGTGGTTCAAATAAGCAGAAGTGGTAGTTTGAATCTTATAAATTTAAATTGATCACCGACTGTACACCGTTGGCTGTACCGAATCGGTGTTTTAATACATCGTTACTTCCTCGAAACTAACATTAAAGCATGTTTTTAATAAAGAAAACTTTCCACCATTTAACAAGAAATATTCTGAATAACTAATTTTGTCCAAGTTTTATTCCTCCATATTCTTGTGTTTCTCGTTTTGCAGTAAAACATTTTGCTGTATACTTTTACTATACACTGTGAAAAATTCTAGATCAAATTACGGTATAAAGTACCATCACTTCGGGTGCATTATTCGCAAAATCCGTTTTTATCGTAAAATATTATACCGTAATTTTTATAGTAATATTTATTTAATGAGAGTGGTTCAGGGATTTTACGGTAATTAATACGAAAAAAATTACAGTATATTGGTGTTTTTGTTCCGTAACATGTTCGGGTAAGAAAGGATTTTGCGGTAAAAAGTACCAGCGACCTGAGTGCCGGTACTTTTTACAGTAATTGACCCGAAATTTTTTACAGGGTACGGAAAGGTTTAATCTTTTGAATCAAGAAGAATTTCAGTTTAGGGAAAGTTAAAAATGTTTCGAATCCTCTAAAATGATTAATTCTTAAGAAAATTATGAAATCATGCAATGCTTACTTGCAAAGAAACTGAAAAAGGGTAAAAAGTAAGTGTGGTACACAACAACTAAAAACGTTCCCGTTGCATACATTCCATTGATTGCTGTGATATTTGAACTAATTGCTTTCTCCGTTTTCATTAATTTCTTTGTATTGCTGTACAAGGAAAATGCTAGAAGAAGCTGAACAAATTTATCTGTAAAAAAAATATGCAAATTATGCATCACAATTCTTTTTCACTTTAAAGAAATATGTTCATTTATTTCACACATGTAGCTGAGAAGGAATAAAATATTGCATAGGTGAATTCCAAATTACATCATAAAGCATGCATAAATAAACTCTTTTTTTTAATATTTAGTCCCATGACCGGCAAATTAAAAAAAAAATCAACTAACGAAAAACAAAAGCAGATCAAAATGTATAGTTTATTGAGGTTTTACATTGTGAAACAAAGAATTTATTCGCAACTTTGTTCAAATTTAGTAACAAAGTTTCTGAACAGATGGTGCTATTGAGCAGAAAAACTATAAAACCGTCCGGGGTTTTCTGTTGCATGCTAGATTATTCTTACCATAACACAGTGGGCCAGCATCCAAGGTTTCGTGGCCAAAATTAGTATTTCGATAAAATTTGTTTCAAAATTTGAGAGTTTTTATTTAGGGGTTTTAGGCAGGTAAATTGAATTCTTAGTTGAAATTTTGAACTACACTAAAAATACCCCAAAAAACAAAATGGCGGCTGAAATATGGCGAGCAAAAATATAAAAAAATATATAGTACGTTTAAATAATTAAATATATAGCAATGAAAATATAATAATTTTCGTAATTTTATATTAAAAATAAAAAGCAAATTATATTTCCGAAGTAATATTACAAAATAACGCGTATTTATTACAAAATAACGCGAAAACATGAAGAAAAAAACATAATTTTTGCTTTTCGATATATTTAGTCCACCTTTGCAATACGGGCAAAATGGGGCAGATTTTTTCGAGAGAAGAAACATCAAAGAAGACAACAACAAAAAAGTATAGCTGATTACCTCGTGGAACTTTTCGGAACTAAGTTTCGAAAGTCATTCAAACATTGTAAAATGTCAAATAATAAGATATAAACTATAAATTTGTCAAGAACATTAACTTATTCAACAAATTGAAAAATTGTACAATAATTTCAGACTAATTACTCTGATAAAAATTTAACAGTAACGTGAAATTCCTATATGTATTTCTGAAATAAAAATTTAAAAGTTACATTTAAAAAAAGTTTTAACATATTTTTCATTACATTGTTCTCTCGTCGGTCGAAAAAGTAAATTATAATGTTTGGAATGATTATCAATACTTAATTTGGGCTATATTAAAGCTACCTACACATATTTTAGTTGAAAACTTAATTTTTGACTTTTGGGCAAAGATTATGGTTTTCTGGCCCACAGTGCATAAGCTTCTTTAGTTTCATCATCTGAGTCCGTTACATTGCTGTAGTAAATGATAGTTTTAAAAAAATATATATTATTTTGTAAATCGTTTCAGTTAGAAGAGCCATCTGTCAACTAACTTTGAAACGAATTTTGAAATTTGATGAAGTTAAATGATCTGAATTCTTCAGCAAATTGCAAAATATTATGTTGGTTGTTTCAGAATTTACCGGCAAATGTAGTGTTTACGAATATATACAATACTAAATTTCTGTGTTTCAAATTACAAATGAAGCACTCCAGTTATCTAATAATTCAATTTCAAGAGTTTTATTTAAGTAAATTAATTAAAATAAAATAAATTTATTATTTTAATTTTATTAAATAAAAAAATAATAACGGTTTTTATGAACAATAGAATATGACTCTTTAGAGGAAATAAGAATATGTTCTAAATTAGTTCGTTTATCAATTAGTGAACTTATAATAAATTATTTTAATTAAATAAAATAACAGCAGCATAAAATAACAATAATAATTCGTAATTTTTGTAGTTGATATCTAAACAATAAACTACATAATTACTTAAGTTCTAAACATTAGTTTAAGGTCTACTAAAATAAAACACATATTATAAATTTTCCTTTTTTCCTAGAATAAATTAAATGTTTTCCTCTTAGCGTCCAGTATCCTTATTAAAATAATCATTTGAGTTTTCATACCTTGTTCACTGCTCTTAAAGGAAGAATGTTTCATATGTAACCAAGCATCCATGAGAGTTCCGGACAGTACAAGTAAACCAATGAATAAAAACACAGCTCTAAAAAAAATAATCTTAACTTTAGATAGTTTGTTTATTAAATTCTGGTTCTTTGCAATGATACAAAAAAGATTTTTTAAAAATAAAACAAATTATTTAATTAACTTGTACATTTTTAAGGACAATTAAACATAAGGGCTATTAAACATACCAGGCATAGTGATGCATATTATATGCATCAGTTTCCCTTTCCTTTTGCCGAAAAACAAATAGTTTAATTAGTTTTACACAGACAATTTATTACACAGATTTTAAAATAATTTTTTTTGTTCGGAAATAAATTTATCAGCTTTTATGCTTAGCTACTAAAATTTCACTTTCATTTCAGAGTTTAAAAAAATCCATAGAATTTATGAATCGGTATTAGTTAACACTGGACATTCAGGAACAAAGCTGAACGGCCTAAACTGACACAACAAAAACACTCTAAATAAATTTTTTGAATTATTTGCTATCCATTAAGTTCAAATCATCAAAATAACAATCAACTGTACTCGAACTAAGTGAAAAGAATAACTCAAACATTTAACAGATTCGGCACTTAAATTGATTGCGAGCAGCTAATATTTACTGCAATCAAGTGATTTTCAAGAGGGAACTGATACCAAGCAACCGAGGTTTCTTCGCCGGCTGATCAGAGTGGTCACCCACCCGCTCAACGATACGGTTCCCAGTAGCATCACTGACCGCTGTCAGAGATGCTACTGGAATCCGTACCGTGTCTTACGACCAGTTTACTGTGAGATATTTAACAAAGCTTCTTAATTTAATGTAGTTGTTGAGAAGCTTTGTACATAACCGACCATTAAAAATGTAATACACAATCAATCAATAAATAAAGTTCAAATAAAAAAACAGATAAAAACTTGTTCGTCAAAGCAGTTTTAATAGTTTTTTATTTCATAAATGCATTTAAAATGCTAATTAAATGTTCAAACTTACATAACAACTATTTGATCAGTTTCAATTGCTTTTCCTTTCCCGGTGTCACAGCGTTGAACTCGCAACGGCACGAAATCTACTGGCACTAAAATATAACAAGAAACAATTTAAATATTATATTTAATTAATCTGAACAACAAAGAATGATATGGGGGAAAATGGTCTTTTCTTCACCACAAAGCTATAACTGAACAGAACAGTTACAGCTATTATCTGTATTATCAGTAATTTTAGAGTGGATGGACTAAAATTTCTGTTTTATTTTAAATGAGTCTAATTGTTTTTTTTTCTTCATGTGCCTGATTTGATGTAAACTTTGCCAATATTTTTTTTAATGACGGGAACTTGGGTCTATTTCCCACTGGCCTCAGAAGGGCCAGAATTGTTACTCTCTTATCGTTACCCAGTGGGCACCTGCGGTTAAGCCACGGTGGTGGATCAGGAGATAGAGCGTTCCCCTCCCAATGAGGTGACCCGGGTTCGATCCCAGCGATGGCTGGTTGATACGAATCTGCATCCAGATTGCACCAACCACAGTGCTGACGTAAAATATCCTCAGTGGTAGACAGATCATGGGTTAGAGTCCCTTTGCCGCCAGGCTAACCGTGGGAGGTTCTCGTGGTCTTCCTCTACATGTAAAGCAAATGCGGCTTAGTTCCATCAAAAAAGTCCTCCATGAAGGCAAATGTCTCCCAATGCTTGAATCCAGGAGTTCCCTTGTCTTCTGGATTGGGTTCAAAATTAAAAAACTACGGAGTTAAACATTAGTAGTCGTAAGCCCAAAATTGGGTCGGCTGTTCAACGACCGGTATAAAATAAAATAAAAGCTGAAATATTTGCACCGTTCATTAATTTGTTGTTATTTGCTAATCTGTATTGCGCTTTCACTATGAATGGTGATTAAATTAAAAAATATTTTTTATAGTTTTTTTCAGTTAGAAAATGGCATCTGTTAATGAACTTAGTAATCGTAACCAATGATGAGACTAAGATTCTTTTTTGTAAGAGTACTCTATTCTAGAAGAAAATCTTTTCATGACAAATTCTGTTTCACGTGTCATAGTGGGGACCAGAATTTATAATGACAGCCACCACTGGGATTCGAACGCGAGACTACTCATTGAGAGGCGAGTGCTTAATTCCTATAATAAAGAAATAAAAAAAAACTTAAAAAATAAATTTTACCATTTAAACTCATTCATTTGGGAAGACAGATGAAGAGAAGATGAAGTTTGAAGGAGAATATTACATCCCTATCAATAAAATTGTTAGGTAGGTCAATGTCGATCGTGAATTTTAGTACCATTAAGAAGTACTAAATAAACATTTTTTTAAAATAATATCTATACCGTATATAATGCTTATACTATTTAATACTTACGCCCATAACTTTGGTAACTTTTTGTGTTGCATTCAATATTATTGATGATGTGTAAAAAATAAATACAAATGGTTGGAAAGTTACCTAATCCTAAAATTTCTTCCAGATCTGCAGAAGAACAAGTTGAAGGAAAACATATTCCAATCCGAAATCTAAAAAGATTCGCTGCAAAATTTGCTGCCGGAAATTCACTGATAATCTGAAAAATATGAATGTTTATATTGTTTCGTTCTAGTTTTTATAGCCAAGCTCTAAGCATTTAATAAACAAATTATCCTAAATATCCGTTTAAACGTTTTGCTCTTTCATAAAATTTCCAAAAATGCAAAGGTCTTTAAAAAATTATCCTGTAAAATTAGGTGCTAATATAAGAAGTTTTCGCAAAATTTAAACTGTTGAATATGCATGCGACTTTCTTTAAATTTAATATGCTTTTTTCATATTTATGTTGGTTTTAAAAGCAGTTTAGATATTTGATTTTATAAGGGTATTCCAGGAAAAGCAAAATATATGGTGTACGAAAATATTTTTTATTTCTTTAATATAAGCATAACGATTAATATTATTAAAATAATTACAAAATAATAAAAATTGTAAAATCTACGTTTTTCATCCTAAGTAGTTCAAAAAAAAAAACTATTTCATTTTTGTTAGACCTGAAACTGAAATTCGAAATACGGGGTGGAGGAGTTTCTGCACGGAGGAAAAAAACTCTGTTTAAACTACCGTACTCTATATTAATGACATTTCTGGTACAAAACAAAATTATTCTAGTAACAAAAATCAAAATATACGGTATTCAAACCACTCGTTTAGTAATTTTTCCGATTTTATGGTAATGGTTTTTTCCGGAAATTCTGGTTTCTCGTTACCACACATTTAGTAAAAAATACGCAATTGAAAAGTAAATTTTACCTAATAAATGTTTTTTCAGGCCATGCTAAGGTATCATGACAAAATTATCAAAATGTACCCAATCTATCAAATTTTATCTCACATTTTAAAATTATATTTTTCTAGCTAATTATACCAAAATCCTTACCAAAGCGTTTCAGTAGAAATTACTGAACTTTTTGTTGGTCGCATAGAGCCAAAAACATAGTCAATTTTTATCATATTCTGATAGTTTCGACGATATATTTTTTTTCTAGTGCTGTTGCAACGGAAGTGATGCATTTAAGTTTCTCGTTTAAAAATCTGACAAAGGCAAAACTATTTTTTCTTTCTAAAATCTGCATTCAAGATATGGTTTTCCACATTTTCCCTTTCTTTAATAGTTTTTAACTGCTTGATTGTGTTAGAAAGTAGTCAAATTTTCGATTGGCAATAAATTTTATAATATTGATATTTATAAATTTTCTCGATAAACTTTTTTGTTAAATTTTAATTTCTTTTCATTTTTTTAAAAATATTTTTTGATGGTAAGTTTCCTTTGGCAATAAAATGACGAAACTTTTGTTTAAATCGGTCAAGAAATGATTAAAACTCACATTATCCTCCGTCAAAGAGTTTGCATCAGAACACTAGCACAGATCTCCAGATCATATGTCAGAATTTTGGCTTGTTAAAAATGGGTCAGAATTTCGATTGACGATACTGTTTGATGATAAAATGATGATAACTTACATTGTAAAGCGGTGATGACATAAAAATGTATAAGTAAAAAATAATTGAGTTGCTGAGTGCAAAATTTTGGCAATTGAATAAACAATAAATTTAAAAAAAAATAGTTTATTTCATAAATTTAAAAAATTTAAACCACGAAATTTAATAGAAAAGGATTAAAAGTATTAAAATTTTAAAAGCGGACTCAATTCAAAGAGAACAGCGTTCATGTGGATGCTTTAAAAATTCTGATAAAAAAATGAGTCCTAAATTATAGACTATAAATATGTCTCAGCAAGTTTTTTTCTTAAATCAAAGCGTTATTTCTTTCTTTTTTAAAAAACAAAAACATAATGCTGACTTGTTATTTTTTCCTCAAAGTTTAGTTATTATACTTCTACCGAAATTATACTAAATACATATTACTACCAAAATTATACTAAATACTTACAACTAATACTAAGATTTTGCTAAAGAGCATCTTTGTAACTGCTTCCTTTATTTCTTAGAGGAAAAAATTATAATTCGCTTTGTTCGATATTTTACTTACATTCATTGACTAATATCCTCCATTTAACCATTAAACCATGTGACATCTCCAAGAAAGAATTAATACTTAAGAAAGAGTGGAGATATTTTTAATATGTGCAAGTTTTTAGTAAATTGTTGACTAAAATATTGAAAGTATAAATTAAAATTTGAGAATCAACATTTCGAATCAAATCAATTTAACATTTCGAATCAAATTACATCTGCTTTTTTTCCAAAAAAAAAAAATAAATAAATAAATTTTTAAATGATTAAAGAGCACTTAGTGCCGATTGCTTGAAATTTTTTTCCCTAACACCTTTAACGTAAAATGAACCGCATATAAATTATTTGTTTTAATTATCATATATTTATTAAGTTTTTAAAGTGTATTCTTAAAATGTTTAATGAAAAATAATAGTTTTGATATTATTTCTTCTCTAATATATTTGCATATATTACTGGTAATTTTGTTTTACATAAACATTACCTAACTTTTAACCTCATGATTGACCTGAATGACTTGATCTCGAAAATACATTCAATCTCATATTTATTCCATGGAAATCCCTATCTGATAACAAGAATTGTTTTTTGAATTAAAATATAAGAGTTCGGTATTAAATGTAATTTGATTTTTTTACATCCACTTAGATAATAAATAAAATAAAATAAACTCCTACCGTTCCTAGTTTTCCGAAATCTGTTATATTAGCTTTTCCATCAGATATATCTGTCATTGCCCGGAGTAACTGTGGAGGAAAATCTGCCTCGATGGTGCAGTACTGCCCATAATAAGATACGTCATTGTCTGCCATAGCCGTATCTCCCTTCTTATTTGCTCGAACACTCAAACACTCGTCATAATCACCCATGATAGAAAATGTTCCTTTCATTAATCCAAATGGTGGTTTAGCCATAGCATCAATCACTGTAAATTAGTAATAATAATATTAATACATAATTAATAATTATATAATACTGTAATTTATGTACGTGATGTTTCGTAATGATTACCCATATGAGTATTTTTAGAATACTTGTCGGAAATGAACTTAAAAAACGAACATAAAGTCTCGAATTAATATACAGGGTGTTCCGAAATTCTCTTTACAACTTAAAAAATAAACAAGATATTTATATTCTGTCTTTTGCATGTATTACTGCAACTAATAAAGTTTTGTTTAGTACACTTCAACATGCGCATTATTGGTGGCCTTAAGCACTTCCAGTCTGTAATCAATTTCAAGTCAGGTGATGTAAAGATAATTTTGGATTACCCTGTATAAAGGAGAAAAACAAAACAGAAACGCTATTGAATCATTGCTAAGGAAGGCGGGGCTGAAAATATAAAAACCTGTTTGATTGCAAGAGTAAACAGAAAAGAATTGAAGGGGATTAATATAAACAGTTTTAAATTGGTTTTGATGTTTTTTTTTTTATCTTGCTTTCCTCTATGGTGATTCAACACATTTTGGAACTATTTATGTTGTTTTCTCGCGTTTCGCAGTCCAATTTGCCACTTCTTAGTGTAAACTTTTCCTACTTATTTTATTAATGATAAAATAATCTTTCAAAAATTTGCTAACTATTATAATGTACTTTTTAAAATGGGCATAATAATTTAATCTTTGAAGTATTGTGAATCAATTGATATATTTTTCAGCAATTATAATATTTCCCTTATTATAGTTTATATGCTTCCCTATTTTAGCAGCCAACTCACTAAACGTAAGTTCCTGTAATTCGTATATATTGAAGGCATATACATTGTAAAGAATACGTCGTAGCGTGCAATTTCAATATTATTAAGTTTTTTTTAAAAAAATATATGACACTTAGTCAGATTAATAATTTGTCTACTTTATTTCGGAACAATTCAAAAATATTATAAACATAATTTTTTTTAATGAACATAAGAAAAATTATTTTAAAACGCGCCTGAAAGTTAAATAACTTTATAGTACAAATAAAAAATTTATTTTGAATTTGAACCAGTCCTCGCTCCACGAAATAAACAAACAAAATAAAACCTGTCTTCACTAGCTTTGTTTCCAACAATAGGATTTTTAACACCCCTTTTAAACTAATTAATAACTAATTTGATTTTATCATCATCACAGAAGAAACATTCAAAATCCTATTCGTATCATTGTAGTTTTAATTTTAAAAAAAAATTGAATTAAATTAGTCTAAATTTGCATTATATAAGAGAAAGTTTACTATTATTTAATGTAACAAATAGTTTTTGGAGATTATTTATTTATTTATAGAAGTATTCTAGTCCCCTGTTTTCTCCAACCCGGTAATTTAAAACCAATACATTAAAATAATGAGGAAGGAGCTATGTTTTTAATGAAATATTTGTTATTATAACATTAAATTAGTTATTAAATTTACAGACTATCACTGCAACTGTCTCTCTATTTTTTTCGATGTTTCTTTTCTCCCTATGTGTGTCCTCCATATGGTTCTTTGTATTTTTTGCTGTAGTTGTCTCATCAAATTAATACTGTAATGACCTTTCTACCCTGAGAAACGCAGGATTTTAAAATCAAGCAGCATAAGTAATTTTTAATTTAATATATTGAAAACTTATAATAAATTAAGCTAGGTGATTAGATAAAAGAAAAAAAGTAACGAATATAACTTTGATCATGCTTCTTTAAATTGCTTTAGGCTTCAAGCACCCTCCATGTTATGGCTGAGGCACTGTATAATATTTTCGTGATATTTCGACTCAGTCTAGCATATAGCCTATACCCTTTTGTGCTTCCAGATTCAGTCCGATGGACAAGGTCGGTCCCAGTTTTAACCGACAACGCCAGTTCACAGAAATTATAAACGTGAGGCGAAATTTGTTTAAATAACTTAAAACAATAGCTAAACATGGTGTTATTATGTTGAACTTGCTAAAAATAAATCTTCAAGCAGTTCGATACTTGCAAAAGACGTCATCGTAGGTGAATTCAAAAGCCAATTAGGTTCGACACACACGTATGACGTCGCTTACCGGTCACCATTTAAATTAGAGCCCCTGAATTAGACAGGCCGACTTATCATTTATTTTTGGAGCAAAGAGCTAACATAAGCACATAACATTACAAACTAACAAACAATTCGCGATCGAAACGAACTATAGGGAGCGTTGTTGTATGAGACTAATACCTNAACATAACGTTAACTTGCGAACTTGTTCGCTCCAATATTGCTTGATAGGTCAGCCCTCATAGTATAGGAGCCTTAATTTAAATCTGATTTAAATCACATAGTTAGGCGTAATCACCTAAGTCATAATCACGAGTTGCAAGTACGCAATTGGAAACTAACAAAATACTTTCTTTTATCTTGATTTAAATTTTATCTATTTCTGTAAAAAAACTATTTGAAATCGAAATCATTTTATTTTATTGGGCATGAAAATTGTCCAAAATGATAAAATTTATCGTTGCTGTGCAAAGAACAGGGAGAGAAAATGAATTCACTTTTGATGAAAAAGGTTAAATATTTCCTAAATACAACGTCATTTGCTATGTAAAAATGTTTGATACATTTTTATTATTTGAATGTTCCAAAGAAAAAAAAATTATATATGATTGCTAACGGTTACGATTCATCGATTGATAGGCATTTCCTGATGTATTTGCTTGAACTCTGATCTGTGGCTTTTTTAAAAAAAAAATGGAAGGTACGATGAAAGACTTGTCAAATCACTTCAAACTAAAAGCGGAATATAATTATTAGCTTTCGATTAATTTGGTGATTAATTCCGAATCTGAAGCACAAAAAAAATTTAACTGAAAAAGACAATAATGTGATTTTTCCTTTAATTATTTTAATTATCTGTTCTGCTTGTCTATAAAGATCTACTGCTAAAAGAAAGGGAAAAAATAGTAAATTAATCTTATCTTGTCATATTATTTAGCAGCTGGTAAAAGTGTAGGGAAATATTCCCGAGATGAAAAAATAACAATTGAGTTTTCATTTATTTCTTAGATGAAAACTGTTTTTAGCTACACTGTCAGAAAGTTTTAGTTTATCTAAACATAACACCAAAATGGTGTAATACGTCATACATTACTTTTGGTAAAAAATTATTACGGATTAAATTAAGCTAGTATACACCGAAGAGCCATTACATTATGACCACCCTCCATCTATAACAATGGGCTCGCCCAGGTTTTCATGGTTTCTCGCCCAAAATGAATATTTTCATGGGGCACATTAGGACCCATAATCCTCATAGAACAATCCCTGATGTCTGTAAGCTACTTGAACATAGTTGCAGACCAGGTTCACCCATTCTTGGCAACAGTTTCTCCTGCGGGAGATGGTGTTTACCAACAGGATAATGCACCATGTCATAAGGGTCGAATCGTCGAGGAACATTCCAGTGACTTTCAAGTCATGTCTTAGCCCCCAAATTCACCTGACCTTAATCCAATAGAGCATTTGTGGTTCTACTTGGAAAACCAAATTCGTGCTGCCACACTACCCCCTCGCAATGTGAGGGAATTGCAGGAATAGTTAGTGAGCGCTTGGTACCAGATACCTCAGACAACCTGTCAGCACCTTGTAGAATCAATGTCACGGCGGGTGCTAGCAGTTTTGAGGGCTAAAGGTGGTCCTACATGTTATTAACAGGGTGGTCAAAATGTAATGGCTCTTCGGTGTATACCGGTCACTTTGGATGGATCATCGGTAAAATCCATTTATACCATAAAATATTACACCGTGCTTTTTTTAGTAATATTTATTTAATTAGAATAATTCAGTGATTTTACGGTACTTATTGCTGTGAAAATCATGGTATATCAGATTTTTTGTTCCGTAATATGTTCCAGTAAAAATGGATTTTACGGTAAAAGTATCAACATCCTGGGTGTCGGTGCTTTTTATCATAAATTTGGTCTGGAATTAACAGTGAACTTAGTATAAAGTAGCCGCCACCAGTTGATCTATTTAGTAATATTAAAATTTATAATTACTCTACGATATGATGCACATAAAAGTTAATAAATTTATTTTTCATAACACAATATAAAGCTAGAATCAGAAATTTAGGATGCCACAGTACAATAATTCTTAAAATAAAATTAGTTTGTTAATCAAGCATGCACACAGGCTTAAAAACCCGAAGTGGATAGAAGTTAAATGTTAAAAAGTATTTGGTACAATTGACTGATTTATGTAAATATTATGAGAATATCACCTTTATAATAAACATTCAAGCGTTTAAAAACAATAATTCTGGTTTTGCTGAATCATCGTGAGAGACGAAATAAAACTTTAATCTTCTCGTGGGCGAATTATGAAGAAAAAATATCGATCGTCTGACGACTTCAATCTGATCGTCTGACGCCAAAATTTGCGAAAATACTTCATAAAAGGAGCAAATGCATCGGAACTTGGTGCAAAGTTTCTCATTTATTAAAGTTTGGATTAAACTACACATTTTTTAGTGTGAATAAGCGCTTGATTCGGTATTAACTTGAAATAACACTTGAAACTAACTTGAAATAACTTTTAGGTTCTTTAACACCAAATTCGGATAGGTATTACACCTTAGCTCTTACAGTGTGTAAGTTCAGTTTTTTTTTTTTTTTTTTTTTAATACTACTCTCAAATATAGCTCCGATTAAAAGCTTTTAGAACTTTTTAAAACACGAATAGAATCAATTAAAAAACACTTCCACTTTCATTCTTAGAGGGGCTGAAGGACATCCTTTTTGTGTCGAAAGAAACATTTTTTCCAGACCAAGTTTTTTATAATACTACTCAATAATTATACCTTATTATTTGTTCCAATATTTATCGATTCAAAATATCAAGGAAAGCTGTTTTAAATTTCAAACCAATTTAATACCACAAAAATAAGCTATTTAAATTGCATTAAATTGACCACTTATGGTGGAAATTTTAATTCAGTTT